AAGTGCTTAGAATGTTTCTTTAAATAAGTGTTTTTAGAAAAAAAATCAGCGCTTCAGAACTTCTGGATCCATTCCAGATGAAGACGGTCAGAAGTTGCAAGTTTGGCTCAGGATGGTCAGAAGTTACCTCTTCAGCAGCTACATCAGTTCAATCAGAAGTTGTAAACATGGTTCAGAGTGTAAGCCTCAAACAGAACATACCCCTTCAGCAGTTACACAAGCTCAGTCAGAACTTGCTAAAGGAATGTAAAAGAAATATGAAAGTATAAAGGCTCCTTCAGAACAGGTTGAAGTCAGAAGATGAAAGGTCAGAGGGATAGGTGTCACATTGATATAGAGTCTCTAAGCCCAGATTATCCAGAAGTAGATCCAAGGAACGTACCAGAAAACCAGGAGAATCTCCAGAGTTTGCTAAAACAACAGGTAGCCAAGGCCAGAACATGGTTTACGCTGCTGATTCAACAACCAGAATGTTGGTATTGACAGGTCTTGTCACCATTTAATGCCCATTAATGCTTCCAACCACTCCTGAGCGTTCACGTGTGGCTTGAAAAATGCTTTTGCACAGATTCTGGCATGGGTCTTCACGCCACCGCCCATTTCAGAGGTCACTTCCCCCAATCCACGCCTGCTGCTGCTACCTAGGCTGAAAAATAGCTGTTATCACAACTTCCCAGGAATTTCTGTCAAAGAACCAGTTCAAACTCTGTTGGCGCCTTAAATGTTCAAGATATCCACAAGAACTTTGCCTATAAATAGAAAGCTTTCACCACTGCAAAAGACGTTCAAGAAGTTCAAGAAAAACAGAAAAAAATTGCTAAGAGAGAAACAAAACTCCTAGCAATATAACGTTCTGAAACTCTGCCAAAATTTCCAGTTTTGTTTCATAACTTTAAGTTTCTCACCTTCAACCTCATCAAACACCCAGCTCTTTTCTGTAAACCAAAGCGTTCTTTCCAAAACTTCTGACCCTATACACGTTTACACCTTCACTTCCCCTTTTCCAAATCTGTCCAGAACACCACCAGAACCAAAAGCTAACTTTCACCCACCATTTTCCAGAAAGTCAGGTAAGCACCTGCTGACCCTCACCACACTGTTAAGCATCATCAGCTGTGCATATTCAAATAACATAATGTAAATATTCATGTTATCGCTGTTTATGTTCTGAGGACTCTCATACCTCAGGACGTTCTGAGCCAGTTTAGGACTTGCCTGTGACTTTGGTGATTCTGACCTCTGGGACATTTTGCTATTTTGCTGGATCTGTTCCAAATATGTTTTCTGTTTTGTGGAGTAACAACAGGATTGCAGATGTTCTGATTAGTGCAGGAAAAAGCCTAGTGCTGACTTTGACGTTAGCACATCTGAAGCCTGTTTTGCTGCCAATGACCTCAGAACCTCTGAGAGTTATTGCCTTTCCAGCAGAATCTGAACTTCTGGGTTCTCCACTAACAAACTTCTGTCTTGCAGCGCAGGGAAATCAGAACCTCTGGTTTCCCCACTAACCAGATTCTGTTTTGCAGGTTCCAGAGTCAGAAGTTCTGACTCATCCAGTTTCATCAACAGGTTGATCATCTGACAGCGGATCTGGGTCAGAACTTCTGACGGCCTCCCAACAGCGCGCGGCCTCCCTCTCTCTCTCTCTCTATATATCTTGTTTTTCGCTATTTTCTTTTTTGTCTATTTTTCTCGTTGAACCCCCCATGTACAAATGTGTATCCCCCTCCCCTAACTATTGTAATAGCGTAGGATTTTACATTCCCGCTTCTTATTGCTAGTAATTAGGACGTGTATGGCAAGATAAAACTCAATGAAATAGAAAAACCTAATTCAAAGAAAAAACTCTTGCATGCAATAAAGCACACTTGCACATTAACACCCCTAGGGTACTCCACTTTGTTGCCTTCCAAAATTGGGCCATATTGTATGTTGAACATCTTTGGGCAAAACAAACAATTTGAATGATCATAGTCCCTCGACAAAAACTTTTCAAAACAAACAAAAACAAATGATCAAGTCCCTTAGAGAAATTGCCCAAAGACATTTAATGCCGTTACAACTATGGTCTAAAACGATGACCCGCGCTTGTCCCTTTCACATCCTAACACAAGGTTGCCCACCAAATACAATGGTGGAGCAAACTTGTTAAAAGGGTTAAAGTATAGCAATGATCTTTTGAGAAATTTAGGAGTAGATAACCTCTTAGTTACTTGAATTAACTTGCAAAACAAAACACTTGCCTAATTTCAAAATCACACATCACTACACTTTCAAAACAACTTTCAAAAAACAAATGAAAACTTTTTCAAAAGACATACATCTTTGTATACATCCCCACATGGATCATTACAAAGGTTGCCACCACATTGGCCTCTTTTCAAAACAATTTTCAAACCCACACACTCAAGCACCATTTAAAACAATTGAAAACAGAAGGCAAGTGATCTAAGCAAGTAACTAAGAGCCCATGGATAACCATGGATAGAAAGGGTGCTAATACCTTCCCTTTCTATAATCTACTCCCCGAACCCAAGAAAACATCTCAAAAGGTCTTTTGCTGTGCTTTTTAACCTTTCCTTAGGATAAAATAAAAAGTCGGTGGCGACTCTTGCTAACCGCAACATTTGCGAATACAAACGCAAACCTCAAGTCAGTTCTCCCACCGTATCACAGTAAGTTTACAACTTTATTCATTTTACTTACTTTAGACTATAAACAAAAATAATTAATTTATTTTTCACTATTTTTGGTGTAGATGGTATGCTCCTCAGATGAACTACAACAAAACTCCTAGAAACGCAATAGTAGTCTATCAAAATCTTCTGGATCATGTTGGCCCCGAAGAGGTATTACAACTAGACACCATATTAATTTAGTTTAATATTACAATGAGATTAACTTATGTTTCTCTACAATTTGTGTAAAGGCTGTATCAGGGTCTCAACACTGAGATTAACCATGCAGATGCTGAAGTTTGGACTGCAAAAATAACAATCATCAGGTTCACTATTATGGAGATGCACCAGAATGACCGTATGAAGCTGCAGTTTAACATGCATCAAGGTATCCCAAAACCCCCTACGTGTTTGGGATGCTGGCATCAAATCAGAGTAGATGACCAATGGGGATTTGCAAATTTGAGAGACTTATCTAGAGATGAATGTCTTTAATGGAGGCACCAATGTGAATTGGTCAAAACGAACCAATCTTGCAGGATAATGTTAGACCAACTCGCTATTATATGAATTGGTAATGCACCAGTTTCAAAAATTTTGTTTATGTCTCAAGAAACATATTTGATCGATCCACGCAAAAGAGCTGCATCATACGCCCAACAACCAACCCCTCAACAATGCCAAACCCAACAACATTGCCAACCCACTCAAATCCAACAATCTAAATCTTACACCACCTCATCCACCCAAACTCGCCAACAATTTATGCCACATACACAAACACAAAACCAAGAGCATGATCCGGACCACCATCAACAATATGCTGCAAACACATCTTACCACAACACTGATGATACATATGATACCTCTTCTTCTTACCATAACACCCACCCAACGTACAACTAAACATCACACCACCGAAGCACCCAACCATCGCATGTATTTCAAACACCACTAGAACCATTGCTCAGTTTCCAAAACTATTGACCAACCCAATTCTACCACCCACCCCACCCACATGTAACCCAACCAACACAACCTAACTTCAACAACATGGGAACCATTCTCTTTGGAAGCACCTCAACCAGGATCATCGCATCAAGCACTGCTACCTCAAGCGAGTCAAAACATACCCCAAACACCTTAGAGAAATCAGAGACCTCAAAGACAAATACATGAGCGTTATTGTTTTACCGGTGGGCATTTGGGTGGAGGGGGTCGTTGGTAAAAATATTTCCAATCATTGTGTAATTCTTTTTTCAAGTAATATTATTATAAAATATTTTTAAACACCACTCCAATGGACAACCAAACATCACAATACTGAAGCACCCAACCATCACATGTCTTTCAAACACCACTAGAACCATTGCTCCGTTTCCAAAATGTTTCATCAACCAAATTCTACCAACCACCCCGCCCACACGTAATCTAACCAACAAGACCCAACTTCGACAACATGGGCACCGATCTCTTTGGGAGCACCTCAAGCTGTGGAGAAATGGTCGACGAGTTGTATGATCCGATTGTTGTCCCGGGATCATCCCATCAAGCACCACTGCCTCAATCGAGTCAAAACATACCCTAAACGTCTCTGGGAAATCAGAGATCTCAAAGACAAATACATGAGCGTTATTTTTTATCGGTGAGCGTTTGGGTGTAGGGGATCGTCGATAAAAATATTTCCAATCATTGTATAATTTATTTTTTCAAGTAATATTATTATAAAATATTTTTATTTATATTTATTTTATAATTTTTGTGTTAAAAAATGAAAAAATATATTTTTTCTTCTTTTCAAAACAACTAAATAGTCAAACTGGATATCATGACTTATTTACCAGTATATGCATGCGCCACACTACATGACCTGACAGAGGAATATGTACCATAAAATGTGACACCTCTTCTTTAAGTTGTATTCATGTGCCACAAGAATGGTTATATTTCTTTGTAGCGAATTTTTTTTTTTTTGAAAAATAGTTAATTTAAAAAAAAAACTAATTTAAAAAATGATTATTTAAAAAAAAATTCAAAGTCTAGAAATCGTACCAAATGGATACATTCGATAAATAAAGTGGCACATTACATCAAGGGTACGTTCTTGACAAAAAAAGAAAAAAACGCACCGTGCACGTGCTCATCCACATCAACTGTGTCACTTAAACATACCCAAGCTCCGGAAGGGCACAATCGTCAAATAATCTCCCTCTCCAACAACCCGTAGCCACCACAGCACCTTTCCTCCGCCGTCACCACGATTACTTCTTCTCCGTCACAATTTCGCGAGTTTCCTTCTAACTGATTCTCTTAAGTGCAGTAATGGCCATAACCGCCACAATTTCAGTACCAATTACATCCCCCACTCGTCACTCACTCGCTTCCTTCAATTTCTTCCAATCATCTCTCCATTCCAATTTTACCACACCACAACGCACTTTCAAATACCCTATTTCCCGCCTCGTTGCTTCCTCCATGAAAACCGAAACTCCGGCGAAAACAACAACAACTTCCTCCACTTCCTTCCTCCACCAGAAGGAGTCCGGCTTTCTCCATTTCGCAAAGTATCACGGTCTCGGAAATGATTTCATTTTGGTGAGTTCATATTCCACTCTGATTGATTCGCCTCACTGAATAACACTTGTTTTTAGGTTTTGATGATGTTTGTTGTTATGCATAGATTGATAATAGAGACTCTTCTGAACCGAAGATTAGTTCAGAGAAAGCTGTGCAACTATGTGATCGGAACTTCGGTGTTGGTGCTGATGGAGTTATTTTTGTCTTGCCTGGTATTAATGGAAGTGATTATACAATGAGGATTTTCAACTCTGATGGTAGTGAGCCTGAGGTGATTAATTCTTTAGATTTTATTTGTTCTGTTACAAATTATGAACTGTTATTGGTTTTCATTAACTCACCAGTTTGATATGTTTTTTATGTTTACACTTTTTTTTTCTTTAGATGTGTGGCAATGGAGTGCGGTGCTTTGCTAAATTTGTTTCTCAGCTTGAGAGTTTACATGGAAGGCACAGGTATGTTCATTTTGCAGAAACACTTTGGCTATGTTTGGATATTATAAAATGAACAGAGCGGGATGAAGTGGAGTGGAACGGAGCAAAACAGAGCAGAATGGAATAAAAATGCCATTATATTGTTTGGGTATTTCTTGACGGAGTAATGCAATTTTGTCATTCCGCCCAAATCGGAGGGTACAAAAAATGATCGAAAGTGATGGAATAGGATGAAATGCAATTTATCCGGTTCCACCTCATTCCACCCTTTTTTTAATTAATCCAATCAATGGAATATTGATTTATGCCATTTCATTCCATCGCATCAATCCAAACATACCCTTAGGCTATGCTTGGATATTTCAAAATGAATGAAACAAAGTGGATCAGAGCGGAGCGGAATATATATTCCATTCCATTGTTTGGATATTTTAGGATGGAATGTAACAAAAATTGTATTCCGCCCAAATCGGATGGAATGAAAATGAGGGTAAGTAATAGAATTGGATGGAATGCATTCCATTTTGTTTCGCTTCATTCCATCATCTTTTTACCAATCCAAATGATGGTATTTTTTGTTTTTAAGTTTAATTTTCACAAATAATTTTTGTCCTTTGATGATACCAGAAATGATAATAAATCGTTGGGGATTTTATTACCATTGCCTAGTAGTCATCGCAATCGTTATAGATATTCTTGAAAACTTGTCTTACATTGTATTTTTCGTACTTTGTAGTTTCACAATACATACTGGTGCTGGGCGGATTGTTCCTGAAGTCTTGGAGGATGGAAATGTATGCTCTTATTCTCATATGTTGCAAATATTTGCAATTTACTTTTTGACATATGATGTTTGCTAAGAGGCATCAGCATGGCGCTTCCAAGCTGGCCTTTTTATGTACTGTTGTGAAGTTTTGGTGTGGTTTAATGTCGTGAAGAAATTTGTTCTATTTCTATAACCTAATGGACGATAATGCAAACTGATTCAGGTCAAAGTTGATATGGGGGAACCGGTCCTTAAAGCATCAGATGTGCCTACTAAATTATCTCCAAATAAGGATGGTGCTGCTGTTAAATCAGAGATAGATGTTGGCGGAGTTATCTGGAACGTGACTTGTGTTAGCATGGGAAATCCACACTGTGTAACCTTCAGTAGAAAAGGAGTTCAGGTCATTATTCTTGTCATACAATATATTAACTATTTCATTCCCTTGTCCATATTATAAAACACATCATAGAATTATTTAAAGGAATGAAACAGTGTGGAGTAGGAAGAAAATACATTGATCATTAAGATGATATTACAGACATTCTCACACACAGTTGAATGTATAACCATATCAGAAGAAGAAAAATGCCTATGAAATTTTGTTATTTGTTGCTTTACCTGTATATTTTAAATCACATCTTCAAATTGAAGCTTTTATCTTTGTACTTACAAGACCTTGCATTTTTTCTGCTTTTGCCACATGTCATATTTGGTTTGGTCTCTATTGCAACAGAATCTGGTTGTTGATGAATTGAAGCTATCTGAAATTGGTCCAAAATTTGAACATCATGAGATGTTCCCTGCACGAACTAACACAGGTCAGTTTAGTTTACTTTTATAATCAGAATATAGCTGTCAACTTCATTTTGATATTTAACAAATACCCGCTTCCTCACATTTTCATTTCGCCTGCAAGGGCTTTTTAATTCAGTTTGCTTCCTTGGTGTTCTGGGCAATATGTTTCTGTTATACATTCTGTCAAGATAGCGATTTACTGACACAGCCATTAAATTTAATGTTTGTGGGACTAGGTTAGACTGTATGTCTAGCTAAGCTTTAGTAGGGATGCTTGGGCCTTCCCCTTGTTCAGAAGTATACACTTTTAATCCATTTTGTCTCTAGCTTTAATGTGTTATTCTTCCCCCAACATATTGTCTTCCAGATTTTCAGCCCCTATTATGTTAGTAGATTATCACTTCGATTCTGTTGTAATTCCTCACTCTTATTATGTCTTGTGATTTAATGTGCAGAGTTTGTGCAAGTGCTTTCTAATTCCCACCTGAAGATGCGTGTTTGGGAGCGCGGAGCAGGTTAGAACATCTAGTTTCTTGGCTGTGTTGGATTGGTATTGTTAGTGTGGTTAGGGAAAGTCTGAGTTGTCTCAATTTGTGTGGGAAAGCTTTTTTGTTTTTGTATTGACTGTTTATATGCAGCGGAAACTCTTGCTTGTGGAACTGGAGCTTGTGCTACCGTTGTTGCGGCAGTTCTTGAGGGTCGTGCTGGGCGGGTAAGTTTGCTATTTGATTGTAACACTAAAAGCTACTGACTTTTCATTAAAAAAAAATCAGAATATGGAGTTGTTCTGAGGAATTGTTAACAGGAAATTCCCAAGATAGCTCAATTGTAACTAGAAAGGACGAGGTCCTTTAGAGACACTCGATAATTATTTTTGAGTTCTGGCATTATTCTGGAAGATGGTTTTCATTAAACACTTCCGACAGTTTCTGATATTCTGATGTCTATGTCACTGAAATCGAAGTGTCTTAGACTCAATCTTGACTGGTGCAATAGTGTCTTTTATGGTTTAGTTCTTGTACAAGACAGTTAATGTTATTTTCCTTGCTTCATATATGGTATCACCTTATCCTTGTCCCATTTGGAAGCAATTGTATAAAGGTGGTAAAATCATGGTCAGCTAGGTGGTACTGGTATTGAATCAATTGTTAGTGTTATTTATGGAGAGCTAACTAAACTTCTTTTTTTATATTACTTCCTGTGATTTGGTATTTTATGGGTGGTATAGACATACTTGTGTAAATATCAAATGCACAATCAAAAAATGTTTGGGTTCTCACATTTTTTTTATATTACTTCATGTCATCGAGTTCTTGTTTGTGTCCTTTTCTTTTTAAGGGAATATGTTATGTATACAATGCAACAATTTCCTTATTCTTTTCAACCTGTCATTTTGTTACAGAACTGCACGGTTGATCTACCTGGAGGGCCTCTTCAGATTGAATGGAAGGATGAAGATAATCATGTCTATATGACTGGTTCAGCTGACCTAGTGTATTATGGATCTTTGCCCCTTTGAAGTACGCCCCTAAGCTAGAGAGTAACGTTTTTACCCACATCCTATTTCTGAAAAACTTCTCATGATTTCAGAAGTGTACTCCTAGACTGTAAGTACACATCCATGTTAGTGCTTTTCTTAAGATGTGTAAATCTAAGTGACTATGGGTGTGGGAAAAATTTCACCCTAAAATTGTTGTGCAATTCAATGCACTGAATAGTTGAGTTTCTTAATAATTGTTGTACAAGAGAGGTGGACTTTTATCTTTTAGTGAATGTCTTAACCACGAATTTATTGAATTCCATTTGATTAAGGGTATGTTGATGGTTGAATGGGTAGTATGAGATGAAATGAAATGGTAAATAATGAGAATTTTTTTTTTTGAATTTGTAAATAATGGATGGAGCGGATCGGAATATGATGGAATCCATTTCATTCTATTCGATCCGATCCTTTAATTTTCATTCTATCTGATTTGGGGTGTATTTGGGGTGTATGCAATGAAATGAACTAATTAATTTTGTTCTGTTTCGTCGAATTATAAAAATTACCCAAACAAAATCTATGTTTCATTTCGCATCAATCCATTCCATGATATTTTATTCTGCCTTGATCCCGCCCCGATCTGTTCTAACTCATCAATCCAAACATATAGCCTAAATGACTCTTTGATTTTGTTAGTGGATCAAATCAATTTTGAATCTTAAGTAAAACTTTTAGTTAATATTTTTTGTCTATCATAATATTTTGGATAAAATCAGTCATTAATTAATAGTGATATGTTAATAATTAGTTTTTTTATTGCATAATTAATTTGTTTTAATTATAACTGCAACATAATGCATGCAAGTTTTGCATGTAATGTATTTTGAATTACGACATTTTTAAGTGAGATTAGCCTATTAAGTAATGGAGTTTTTAATATTAGTAATTTTTCAGTGTAATTTAATATAATATTATATTAAAAGTTAAAAATATGTTTTAACTATTACTGGTTTGAATGTAGTCTCAATGTTTATTAGAGTGGAAAAATCATTTGAATAAAATCATCAAACACAGGTTTTACCTCTTACGTTTAGAGTCAACCATGAGAAATACATTTTTTATTATTATTGATTATCTGTTTTACTTTCATCAATAATCTCTTTTTAAATGTGATGTTAATTAACTTAGAGTGAAAAATAGTTTTTTTTTTTAAAATACAATTATGAAGTAATTAAAGACCAAACAATGGGCTTTTGTGTGAAATTTTAACTCATAAAACAAAATTAAGAGGATTTAACATGACACTTATTATGTTATACATGACATTTCAATTTTCGTTAATTTAAAGATGTTAGTGACCAAATTTTTAATTTTTTTGTGAAATTTTCAGTTTTTTTTTTAAATTATTGAAATTTTCGGTACTGCAATTTTTTTTTCTTGAAAAATGAAATTTTGGATTTTTTGAAAAATCCGAAATTCTTTTCTAGAAATTTCAAAAAAATTAAAATTTTTCTTAAAATTTTTGATACTTTTAAATTTTCGATAAAACTCATATTTTTTGAAATTCAGTGATTCTTCGTAAAATATAATGATAAAAACATACACGATTGAGATGTTGTATATCTATACACATTTTCATATAATTCCCGTGTAAGAAAAAAAAAATACATGGCAAAGACTTTGTTGATATAATTATTGAGTTTGACATAAACACACTCGCATCATAAATATATAAAAGATGTTAGATCTAAAGCACTATTAATTTTTGTGTACGTGTTATTCTTCGTTGACTTTCTTCAAGTAATTCATTATGTGGGATCTTATTGTGTTATTTAACCAAATATATTTTAAATAATAAAAATTTGTATCATTTGTATAACATAAATATGAATGAAATAAATAAATAATATTAAAGTTCATTTTTATTTTATGACTGTTAACTTAACAATAAAATTTTAAAAGAATAATACAAACATTGAACTTTGATAAAATATAAGTTTGTGTTTGAATGGATAAAAGTCTCTTATTTAAAACCATCGTTGTATATTACATGTATATTTGAGTTGAAAAGACATTTCACATTTAAGTTAAGAGAGTTTAGTAATGGAATAATTAAAATATTAAATTTTATTTTCATAAAAAAAAGTCAAAATTACTATTGTTAGGCGAAAATAATAGAGCGTTTAAACACTCGAAATAGACATTCTCACCGAATTTTATTTATTTTTAAGAAAATGAGAAATAATTATAAAACTATAAGAAAAGAAGATAAGAGGATCATCGCAACTAAATACAGGTTCGTGAGTTAGTTATACGAACGTAAGGTATTAACACCACTAATTTCCACCTCGTTGCTTCCTCCATTAAAACTGAAACTCCGATGAGGATAACAACCTCCTCCACTTGCTTCCTCTACCAAAAGGAGTCAGACTTTCTCCATTTCGCTAAGTATCACGATCTCCGAAATGATTTCTTTTTGGTGAGTTCATATTCCACTATGATTCCTCTCATTGAATCACACTTGTGTTTGAGTTTTGATGATGTTTGTTGTTATGAATAAATTGATAAAAAAGACTTTTTTGAACCGAAGATTAGTTCGGAGAAAGCAATGCAACTATGTGATCGTAACTTTGGTGTTGGTGTTAATGGAGTTATTTGTCTTGCCTGTGGATTAATGGGACTGATTGTACAATAAGGATTTTCAACTAGTGAGTGATGGGTGCTATCAGCAAGTGCACATAAATACCGATTGTATTTTTAATTAGATATCAAACTCACAAAAACCAATAATTAATCCTATTGTTTCCTATCGATGCAATGTAAATCTAAGGCTAATGAAATTGAGGTTTTATGCAAAGTTAAACTAAAATGAAGGAATTTAGAATAATTGATAAAGATAACACCGATATGTAATTCCTTTATGTACCTCAGGGACTGTTGTTAGTATGTTCAACACAAGTATTTATATTATCGTTTTCCTCAGGGATTAGTGTGATATTAATGCTGTTCTATAGTTTTAGTGACTTTAAGTGTTTGAATCATAAACAAAGTTTTGGTATTTGCTTTTAGTAACATAAGATTAAGTTTCATGCACTAGATGGTGATTTGGATAAAAGAGAGGTTTTTGTTTGAAAATGATTGCTTTGATAAAAGACATGTCAAGATTATCTTTCATCAACCTATTCCAAATATATTCGATTAATCATGCATGTGAACTAATTAATGATCGATACCTTCACGTATTCTCTCAATATTTCTCATGTCTAAGCAATATTGTGAGTGTTATTATGTTAATCATTAAATGATCTCTCAACCTAACTATTAACATGATAATCTTTAAAGCTTGATACAAGTGAATACTGACTCATAAATCTATGTCTAGAGCTTGTTTATTAGTAGATGAATATCTTAGGTCAAGTTTGGAACTTACTTCTCAATAATGAACCAAACCATAAAAAGAACAATGATACAAAGATATTCAACATGTATTAATCTTCAACCAAGTTCTTATAAAAATGATTAAAAGAAATTCATAAAGTCTAGGTTGACTACTTCTAACCTTGACACAAAAAGTGCTTAGCTACTCATGGTCATGATACCTTGATCAATGAATAAACAATGACTATTGATGAACATCAATCTTCAAGTCTTCTTAATTCAAGATGCAAGAGTGTTTTTCTCCTCCACAAAGATAAGAACAAAAATGGTTTTCTATGTTATGATACTATGATATGTAGAACAAAAGGTTTTTTCTCCCCTAAATCATATTTTTTTCCCTCCTAGTACAAAAATTTGGTGAAAAGTTTCCCTAAAAGGTAGAAAAAGTAGCCAAAAAGGTATGGCTATCTGCACACCATCGCCAGGCGACCATAAAGCATCGTCGGGCGACGCTAGCCAGATACCACACGTGATCAAATGGGTGTGATATATTCTCAGGAGAGCATCTTTCATCGTCGGGCGACAAGGATGCTTCGCTAGGCGATCCTTCTTTCGCCAGGTGATCCAGAAAGGAAGCATTACATAAGCGAACCCAAAAGAATCATCTTTTCTTCACATTTTTCACTGGGCGACGCATCCTGTCACCGAGCAATCCTTTGTAGAATCTCAACATTGTTTCCTTTGCTTATAAAGCAGAAAATCTCCCTTTTGCCATCTTACCTGCACAAAATTTGTTGAAACACTAACACGCAAATTAAAACATTCAACATTATTTGTACTCGTGCAAAATGACTTAAAATAAGTATTTAACCTAATCAAAAGTAAAATAAAGGGTTTGAAAGTGTCAATAAATGATATGAATTTTATACAAAAGTTGACAATTAACAGGGACTCAATAAATCATTGACGCATGTTATAGTTTAAAATTACTTTTAAGAAAAAATATTAGTTTAAAAACATTAGTCTCACACTCTCGTGCTATTGACATTTGTTATATTTCAAAACCATAAATATTTTTCTCTCGCTCACCCATTTAAGTCTTAAAATACTTTTTGAAAACTAACAAGTCCTAATCAATTCTAAAGCGCTCTCGTTGTGTTTATAATTGATGTCTAGTTTTTACTATCTGGTACAAACCCCACACTCTCATTTTTATTAGTTTGAAACCTTGGTGTTTTCGCCATCACGAAAAACCTTTTAAAGTATTGCATTAAAAACCAAACCAGAAAAAGTAATTTTTATAAACAAATATTACGCCAAATCATTACCGAGTCCTGCCGAAACGACATTCCTTACATACCAGACTCAAAACAAATTAGCTAGACATAGTTTTTGAATCAAACATGCAATTAAAATAATTAAATATGAACATATCAATTATTTTGATTAAGAATAAAATCATGCAAGTGTAATGACTATATAGGACATAAACAACACAAACAATAATATATGGTTATGCGGAAAAGAATTAGAAACTATATAACTTGCAATTAAAAGAACTTGAAGATGAAAATGGAAATAAAATTGGATTAAAATTCAAAAATATTTCTTCGAGTACAATAACGGAAATTGGAAATAAAAGTGATGCTGACACACTT